ATTATTTTGGTAATAGCTATGTCAATGATTCTCTCGTTTTAAACTTTTATTCAACATGCTCGAGAGGCCACATTATGATCATCTACCTAATCCATTAACTATAAGAAAACCAAATTTATTTAATTTAATCCTTTTAATTTGTTTATCTACACAGTTAAGCTAAATAGTAATAATAATACCACTAGAAACAACACCCGAGAAAAGGCCACATTTAAAATATCCTTGCTTAATTAGCATCCATTCCTTTAATCACCTTTCCAAGTTAATCATTGAATAACCTTCGGCATTGATCACTAATCTCAATATATGATTTCTGACATCACAAATGACCGCATCTCAAATATTGTCATCATTTCTCAAAGTGGCCAACTGATAATTTGTCTGCCAAATAATAAAATAAAATTTATTATAAAACGAGAAAACAGGAAAAAATAGTGTCATAATTTTTATCATGTTTAAGCATTGCACCTATTCAATGAATTTATATATAATTATATTTCAAAAAATATTATGAACAAAAATAATGACATCTAACAGTATATAAGTATGTATTTTTGTTCAAAAAGTAGTGCTTACAGAGCCTTTCGGCAAAAAGAACAAAAACATGGGAGTTCCAATGGCTCCCCATCTCCTCCGTCGGCCTGCCGTTCACGATAAGTTCGTTCCCCTATCCATCGGCTGAATTGGAGGCGACTGTCTGCATCTTCTCTTCACCGATTTGGGTTCGGATTGGGACTTCCGATGGAGGCTTCATCTACATCAGCCTCTCCTTCCTAGACCGCGGGTTGGGGTTTGTGACGAAGGCTCTCCTCCGATTTCTCTCTACCGACTTGAAGACTTTTGGACTCCAAATCTGGGCTGAGACTCATCTCCTAACAAGATCTGACTAGGCGCTTGAGTAAGTTTGCTGTCTTTGGTTCTACGGCCTTATATGTGCTGCTCTCTTTTGGTTTTTTATTTTGTTATGGGGATTGACTAATGTGCAGGTTCGGGTGGCCGCAGTGGTACCCCAACGAGAAGTAGGGTAAGTTATATTCAATTGTTTGTAGGTGTACGTTGTTATTTTCTATTTGAGTTTGTTAGTCTCTTTTGTGGAGTTTCTTATTAGTCTTCTTTATGGATTTTGTTTAGTCTCCTTCATGGAGTTCTTTTGTTTCTCAAGTGTTCGTACCCCCTTGGTCGTCAGTGTAATTCCAATAGATAGTTGATCCAGACTTTATTCTTACGCGCTTAGCTAAGCGGCCCTTGTTAGGTCTCGACAAAAATTATCTAATTTTTATTTTTTAATACTAATTACATTATTTTGTTATTATGTTTTCTTTATAATATATTAAAATTATTATTTGGACTTAGGTGTGTGCATTTACTATAAGTTGTGATAGTTCTATTTTGTAGGTAGTGAAAATAAATAAAAAAAATAAAATATTGAACTTTAATTTCTATGCCCCGCCTAAACACTATTCATGCGCCTAGCGTCTTCTAGAATACTGATTTTGATTTGTCATTGCCCTCTCTCTCCTCTTCTCCCTCTCTCTGTCTCTATGGTCTATGGGTTATGCAACTTTTCAGAACAAGGCTATTTCATTAGTACACATCACAAGGTAACATTTAACTGGAAACAACATACATTAACAATTTGTAAAAGGGTTGCCTAGATTTTTCCTAAAGGATTTGGAGCCAAGATTGGCTGACGCCAAATTCTCAAGAACGTTCTTGCTTGATCAATGAAACTCCATTCACAACGGCAATCCGGTTCATGACATGCATTCCAAACCAGATGTTTTCAAAGGATGAACTTGACGAAAGACAGCACATTTATTTAGTTTAACAAGGCCATTTCTAAAGGGCTTGGTCTCGTTTTTTCCTAGGCCAGGAAAAATGTTAGGCTTTTTTTTTGTGCCCTGTCTGCTCGTTTCAATAACTCTATTCAAGCTGTAACATCTTCTCAACAACACGCACAATAAACAATAATAAATAAACAAAAATTATGAAAAAGTAGCACATAATACAATCAGTTATGCACGACTCCACGATTAAAGTGATGTGCCTCCACCATCCGACATCAGAGAAGCTGCAGCTGCGGCGGCAGTGGGGACAACTCCAGTCGAGACACCAGGTTTCGATAAATGGAGTAACCTGAAAAGTCGAAATAAGTATTTTAATGTTTCCAGTCTTGATTAGATTGACATAAAACTTCATCTATGTAATAAAGATTTGACAAATTTCCAACACAGTTTTCAAAGAAATCAAGAGCGCTATCCTATCTGCATTTGCAGTTATTCTTTAGCTTAGTAACTGAAAACTTGAACGATCTCGAGGGCCATCTTGAATGCTACTACTCTTGATCATCCAAACCAAATGTGTAAGCGAAAACAGTAAGAAAAATTACGCAACTCACTAAAAAGTTATGGGTGATTCTTGTATACTATAATGATCATAAAAATTACTACTTCGCTTTGCTGCACTTACATTTCCTCAACTAGCAAGAACTAAAGATTCTGAAGCTCACACCAAGACAGTGTTTGTTTACAAAAATTTTCACTTCATACTAAAAAATCTAACTCAACCCCACTATATCAATATAAATAAATTACATCAACCAGTCATTCTTACACATCACATCAATTTTAATTCACAATCATTCACTCACATAATTCTCACTAACCATCATGCACATCATTTATCTCACACTTTTACATTAAATCAACTTTAATTATTTTATTTTTAATATAATCTCAAAATTCCACTAACAACTAATATCAAAATTAACTCTGGTTAACCAAAAAAACTCATTTTGAGCAGATATATTTGTATCCAAGCACGCCCCAAATATCTTTATCACGAAGAGCCAAAAAGAAAAAGGAAAATGCATAGACACACTTACGGCGCAAGATATTCACAAAAAGACGAAACAGCCGAGGCAACCTCGGTGTAATTCTCAGACGAGGCCGGAGCTGTCACCTCGACCAGCTGTATGCCAGGAGTCACCGGCACAGCCTCGTCGGTTGCGTGAAGTTTCAGCATTTTATTGACAGAAGACACGGTCACTGTTATGTGGGCCCCTCTGTAGAAATGGAAGGCGAACCCCACTCTCAACAGCTCATGGTCCAATTTGTAACCGAGCGCATAAAACAAACGGAGCGCGTTTTTGCTGACCTTGCTTTCAGCCATAGTCCTCACCAGAACCGAAATTTGCTCGGCCCCTGCACCCCTCATGGCACCACCTATGTGGCGAACGGTCCTGAAAATTATTTCATATTTTTTGTAGTCAGATTCAGAAGTCGAGTAATT